TTATGATGTGATAAAAAGTTAGGTAGCACCATTTAGCATTGGATGTTCTTGCCAGACATTTTGCAAGAGGATGTATCCTAGTCTATGTTTTTTTATTCTTGTTGATGATAAAATTAGAGAGGGAGTTGAAGAAAAACTTGAATTATGAAGGCCAACATTCGAGTCTAAAGATTTTCATTTTAGTATATATAAAGATAAATACATGTTGTATAATTTTAATATTAATATATCTAGTGGGTGATTGTGCTTTGGGATATTAATTAATCAAAAAGAGTATATATTTTAGATATATCAGATCTATTATTCAAACCAGTGGTGAAATAGATGGGGATATTATTAGTAGATGTTTTGGACACATAACGTTAGCCTTCCAATGACCCGATTAGGAGAGTAGATGTATTATATTTGAACTATGTTAAGAAAGATATAGAGATCTAAAAAAAAATCGTTAGAAAATATTAGAAATTGTCTTTTTTATTAGATTTAAGTGAGAATTTGACTCTTAACAGCATACAATAGAGCAAAATAATTTATGTAGCCGGTCCTATATATAGTGGATAAAGGCTTGGTGTTCTTATTATGTTCAAATATTACCAAAAAAAAATTCCTCTCCCTTCTTTTAATTTGTTTTGCCACCGGATGGGAGATTTGAACTAGCTGTGTCTCCTGAACGGCTGAACAAGACGCCCGGAGGAAAGCCTGCAGGAGAAGCCTGTAGGGGCAATATGGGAAATCCGCTAAACTTCTGTCATCGAAATCTACATACAGTTACTGCGGACGTATTTCAGCCCAAGTGATCGACGCTGCGTTTGCGGGTCGCGGTCCGGTCCGGCGAAAGCCAACCGAGTCGATCTGAGGTGGCTTAGGTGAATAATGTGGCTGCTATATCGTGCGGACGACGATCGCATAGGATTTAGTAGGGAATCAAACGGGTTATAAATGCGACATGTGGGAGATATTGCGGAGCTTTGAAGGCTCGCAGCTCTTTGTCTCTCTCTGCTGACATTCGTATAATGATGATGTGATAAAGTTCTAACTTTGAAGTTCAGTATCAGCTTTATATGATAGTAGAATTTCGGTGCAATAATAAGAACATTTTTCTGCAGCAAAATGATTTTGAATAATTTATCATTAAATTTTGTTTGTTAGGTAATTTGAAGGATGCAGCGATTATTATATAATTAAAAAGTTAAGATAAGAATTGTATAGGCCGCTACAACAACATCCTGAAGGTCCTACTTCTTCCCCGTCCAAGAGGGGATCAAAATCAAGAAATACGTCCCGACTAGTCAAAGAAAAGGTAGTACAATCCAAGGAGCATGTTACCGTCGTCACAAAAGAAGAACACTAACAAGCAAATTACAAAAACAAAAAGAAAGAGTAGAAGATGCGCATGTTCAGCCAACCCAAGAGGTTGGAAGAGTAACGGATCATCGAACACCAGTGAATGATGACAGTGAAATGAAGGATTGTGAACAGTATGTGTCAGTTAGGCCCAACCACGTTTTAGGCCGCTCAGTAGATGAGATACTGGAGGAGTTGAAAGCCATTATAAGGCATATTGAGGAGGATGAGGCTACAGAAGCTGAAAGGTGGAAAGCCATTGAGTTAGAAGTTTTGGAGGAAATTCAAAGAGAAAAATACCAACAAATTGGGTCAGTAGTAGAAATCTTCATGGTAGACACTCGCAGGTCGATGCCACGATATCAACAAACAGTGGATTCTCAAGACGTCATGGCTGGAGAAAACACACCGCTTGATTTAACTCAGCAACTCCTAGAACAATTGAAAAAGAAAGACGAGTGAATTTATCGAATGGAGAGCATGATCGAGGAAATGATAACCGTTATGACGATCCTAAAAGGACAACCATCAATTCCGCAGAAACCGTCTTTCAATGAGATAAACCAAAGGCTATTCACTTAAGATTATTTAATTAGGAATTAAGTAAAGTAAGACTGATAGGGCGAGTTTAACTAATCATTAATGTTGATTGTTAAAAAAAAATTAATTTATCATTTAATAAAATAAAAATCATAACTTTTATTCAATTTGAGTAATTTTGTCAATTTTTAATCTTGAGACAGTTTAATTTTTTTTTTTTTAAGAAAATAAAACACGTGTAAACTAATCTTAAAAATAAAAATAAAAATAAATTGTTATTATAACCTTTACTAATATTTATGATACCTCAAATATTATCACAAATATACACTAATATTAAAACAGGCTTTTGCAGCACTATTTTTATCCTACGTCAGCGGCATCAGCGGGCAACTGGGGAGGATGCGCGTCATGAGTGGAGAAGAGATCGAAAGGTCGAGAGCTGGAGTGTGGAGACATATTGAATGAGCTAGAGCTTATTCCTATTTGCCCGTATTGAATGAGTTAGGGTGATTTTACTAACACAAAGAAGTGGTTTAAGACTGCTGTGGTAATTGGTATCCAGTTTATGGCAATATTAATTAATTTGCTGGTAATGAATGCTAAAAAACCCTACATTTTTAGTAGTGGTATGTTGAATACATCACCAGCAACACCATACATGTTTTACTTATTTTTATTCATATAGCCATAAAGCTGCCTTATTGAATTATATATATCAAAACTATGTAAACATTGAAGGAGTGAATAAGATTTTGATATTTCCTGCTATTCTATGTTCTTCCCTTTGCTTCCTCCCACATGCCCGTGATTGGCTCGCCAGTCTCTCAATATGGTATCAAAGAACACATAAGAATTCCTAATTCGGACCTTGAAAGATAGTGTTGTTCTTCTACTCGCCAGATCTCATTGCTTTTGCAAGGTAACTTCTTCTCTCGCCTTCTCGGTCGTTGCAGTGTAGTGAGGAGTTAAGGAGTTCTTGAGGAAGGGCTTTCATTGGTGACAGTGAGGGGTGTTGGACACCCAGTTCCATTTTTTACTGTTGACCTCTCCCTTGCCCTCTTCTTTCACTGCCTTCAAGGACTAACACTCTCATCTAACCTCACGAACTCCATTATCATCAATATCACTAAGTAATGAGTAGAGATTAATCTCTAAGCTTAAGGGTTGCATATATAATGGTGTACTAGAATAATTGTGGGCCCTATAGTGCATGGTTTAGCTCTAGGCTAGGGACCTAGGGTTGGTAGTAGGATTATCATGGAGAAGTTAACATATAATAATTATGGGACCGCATCCCTGGCGATTAGGTCGCAGGATAAAGCAATAACGCCTCTGCAGGGGTTTGTAAGTCATTTTATACTATGTCTTCTCTATAGTGAAGTCGTCTCCTTTTTTTCTGCATGATTTTTCCCATATTTAGATTTCCCACGTAAATCTCTTGTGTTCATTTGTGTTTAGCAGACCATGATTTTTTTTTTTTGTAATTTGATTCATCGTTCTCTAACAACCTCTACTGCCCCAAGTCACTTCATGTGACTAATTCATAGGATACGAAAACATCTTCGTGCACTACAGGAAAAACAATGAAAACCGGCGGTTTTTTCCGGCGGTTAGTGTAAGATTACCGGCGGTTTGACAAATTACCGGCGGTCTAACGGCGGTTTAGTGAATTATTAGTAATCATTATGAACAAGTTTAAACAAAGCAAACTTTCATTTTAGGAAGGAAAACATAGTAATGCTCTCAAATAAAAAAAAAACTAAATATATTAATAATTATATTCACAAATGAATTGTACAAAGCTAAGTTAATTTCTAGGATGATGATTCGAAGACGACAAAACACCATCAATTTCATCGTAATGATAGAGCCAGTCACCAATTAATACACTATTAAGGCTTCGTCGAGGACAATTTTCTTATTATATTCTATTTTATATCACAATACCTATTGGGTCACTATTTTTTTGCGCTTTAAAAAAAAATTGTACGAAGAAGTCACTTTCCGCAATAGCTTTAAAAAGTCACTTTTCTACAACTTTACAAAACAATAAGAAAGTCATCCTAAACGAAGCCAAAAGTGGGTTTGTGCAACATAAACTAAAAATTTTCACATGTGAATGAGCTTTGATTTCTTCTGAATCTTCTTGGCAAAGTCACCTAGGAGTACAACAACAAAATTATTAGACCAACTCAGCCTTTGTTTGACCATTGCGTTTCTCCTTCAGCAAAGCAATATCAAATAGTAATTACATGAACATATTTTTTTTTTTTTGGGACATTTAGGCCATTTAAGGCAAACTCACACACACAACACATACACATAGACTCGAATCCTAGACCTCTTAGTTGAAAGCCTAAGCTCTCAATCAGTAAGCCAAGGAGAGCAGTGTTACATGAACATATTTATCATCACAGCTAATTACTATACTCATCCCTTCTATCTGCTAACACGCCATTGGATTAAATGCATCGATCTGCACTCAACGAGTCCATATAAATGCGATCGATCATCTTCATAATGATCTATTTGCTGGGGAAAATATGCTTTGCTGGCAGCTTCATAATTAGGAGTCGTAAAATGATAGATTGATATTATTCAAATATCCTGACTATTATAAATTGTATTTTAAATAAATGAATATATAAATATTTTGATATATATGATTTATAATTGTTTTCGCTAGATATATTTAAAATTATGAATATTTAGTGATACTTAAGAGATCAAAATAGATAATTCATTAAAATTAAGATCTTGGGGCATTACATGGATTGAGTTTGAGTTGTTTGGATTTGAGTAGGATCAATTTTAGATCAGACAAAATCCAATCGGTCTATCTATTTTGACACTCCTAAAATCATTATTTTTTAGTCAATAATTATAAATGCCGGCGGAACACTGCCTGAAAATAGAAATTGCAGCTAGAAATTGTTAATTTTATGGCGGAAGTTGCCAGTTGAAAATGACTGCTTTTCTTATAATGTTCGCATCCTCACTCAGGTCCCGCTTTCTGATGCTGCACTCACAGGTTAGTGGATTGAGTCGGGTCAGCCTTGTTAGGCAGGGTCGGGTCTGGATCTAAAATTTTGATCCATTTGTCTGATTGGATTAGGTTCAAATTGCCCGGAAACAAATCTCTACACCTATTTAGCTTTCTTTCAAATCCCGAGGACACCGCGAGGGTTCTCGATCAAGGGTTATCTTTTTTTTCTGTTTTTTCTAATCCGAAGCGATCCGTCTTCAATCTTCAGGGCAGCTAACCAGTTCTCGTAATTGCTTGAGCGGCATAGAAGGCATGTAGGTAACTTACATATTTGAACTTTCGATTGAACTCGTTCGCCAATCAGTGCGGCGATTTTTAAATTCTGGACACTTGTTACGATCACAATAATTTCAGTGATAGATTGTTTTACGGAAACTTTTTAGTTCTATTTCTTAGATTTTCCTTCACTTGATAAATGTGCAAGTCGTAGATAGCTTCCTAAATGTAGGACACCAGATTGCTATGCCTTGATAATTTTGTTATTTGTGCTTATTGATGTTTGCCCTAGCCTTATGATGCTTCTCGCATGGTGTTTTTGGAAGAGGCTGGTTAGGTGGTCTTCGTTTATTTGTTCAATTTGTTCCACTGAAAGATAATCTATGGTTGCTCCTAAAGATTGTTTTCTCGAAAAGCTTTGTTTTATCTCATTGTTTGACTAATAGATAGCGCCAAACTGAAACCCTAGCTTCACCTTCTAAGAATTACTTGCAGTAAAGAATTAATTTAATGCTTTCTTATTTGTGTTTTTTACTGATTGGAAGGTTGCTGCATCCTCTGTTAATTTCATGGAGAATTTGCATCACTCATAATGTTACAATGGACGGGAGGTTCTAGGAGGAAGGTGGCAACTGTAAGTATTTTATTGACTTGGTAGACTTCATTTTTCATCCTTATTAACATTAAAAGAGAATTACCAATGGAACACAAGAGATGTGTCTGGAAACAGCTTTCTATCTCCTCTATTCCATTTCAATGGTTGGTATGTTGGCTGTTATATGTTGGGGATGAGGAGTAAACACCACAATGTCAAAACAAGTAAGAAAGTAAAATCAACAGAAAAATAAAGGACACCAGGATTTAATTTGGAAAAACCCAAAATAGAGAAAAAATTACGGAGCCACACTACACCATGAAATATACTATGAAATTTGAGAGAAATAAGTACATATCTCTCTTCTTGCTCACTCTCTAATTGATTCTCTTCTCACATGCACCGTTCTCAATATCCTCCTATCTCAAAATACAAGAGAAAGCCAAGTAAATAACCTTAAATGATGCAACCCTTCAGAAAAACAAGAAAGAAAACCATCAAGTCCATCTCGTAGCACTGCGACGACAGTTTGGGGCACTGCGGCGCTCCGTTCTCTGTTGTTCAGTGCTAGGGCGCTCGAGATCACAACTCTCGGGCACTCGGGTACACAGCGCCGGGGCGTACAAAAAAAAATTTCAGCTGCGAAGCGACCGAACCCAAGTAGGGGGTAAACCCCTTGCACCCTCTAGCAAGCATGACAAACTTGAGGTCCGAGGCAACAAAATAAACCAATTCCACACATAAGTGCATGTCATTTTTTTGACTACACTTACTATTTAACTTTCCTCACAACCATTCTTTTTGGGTAACCTGCATTTTGGAATAATTATTATTGAAGACCATGGGTTCCCACACCACAGGACCCACTTCTCTTCTTTCACCTGACCAAGAAGAGTCGTGGGTCCCACTATGTAGCCAGTCATATAATGATTTATTAAGTACATGGATTGAGAAGCTTAGCCATTGATCTTCTCCCTCTTGATTTTTAGATTGCAATATGTGTGCTCCTCTCCATTCCACTAGCTCTTGGCCCCCACTTGTTGGATTTATTTATTTTATGTAAGTTGCATTATTTATTTATTTTTATGTAATACCTTTGGAGGAGCCTATAAAAATCTCAAATATGTGTATAGAAAGAAAACATTGAATTTCAAGATAATTTTTCTACTTTATTACATAGTATTAGAGCGAAGGTAGATTTTTTTCTTCTAATTTTTGTTATTTTCTTCTTCTTCCATGGAGAGAAGAAGAAGATAGAAGACCGAGACAAAATAGAAGAAGTAAGGTAGAGGAAGATAGCTCGCAGCTTATAGTGTCAAAAAAATTATCACGAATCACCTCATTTTTCCCCAGCACAAACGATCTTACATATAGGGGGAAAAAGGGTCCAAATGTCCACATAAATGTGCCACCTCAAGTAGCCATTAGAAGACGCTTATTGAGAAGATAAAACACTTGACTAGAAATCAACAAAGAGGGAAGGGGAATTGTTAGCAATAGGAAACCAAAGCCCAGGGAAAGCCGACTTTACATGGGAAAAAGCAAGAATTCCAAATATTGCATGGGGAGGGAAAACTGAAGCTGTATGGGAAACCATCGACAGAAATTCCAACCAGCCACATGGTATCCAAATTCGGCATATAGAACACCAAGCAGCCAAATAATATGGGAAGGAATGGGCCAAGCCCAATAAGGAAAAAAATAGCCCAAAGATTAAATGCCCAATTAGCCATCAAAGAGCAATGAAACAAATTCAACATAAAGCAAAATAAAAAAGGCTTTATTTTAACTGCATCAATTCTCCCATGGTGGAAGAATATCTTCTCCTGATGACAATGCCTCAGTAACTCGTTGGAAAATATCTCGACGACGACATTGCAACTCCACAACCCCAATCCAAGAACAATCGGACAAAGGACATCCTCTCCATTTAGTTAAAAATCAATGATGCACTTATTATTTTGTTTGGATAATACAAATATCTATGACATCTTCAACAAGATCATCATATGCCTGAATTGGAACGAAAAGTGACATAGACTCTAAATCCATAGGATTATCATTAGCAAATTTACCCAAAACAATTTTATGAAAATTTTCTAGAATCTCCAACTTTTTAGCATGAAAATATTCCTTCTTGGTTTCCTGAATTAGAATGTCATACTTCCTTCGGATTTTTTCTTTTTCTTGTTCAAACTCTGATTGAAGTAGATGCTTTTTATTTTCATGTCTCTTTGCACATAAATACTGCTGTCTTCGAATTTTGAGAAGTTCGTTTTGTAGTGGATCAGAGAACTTGCCTGAAGAGGTACCCATTCTGTTTTTGGGAAGTTATCCTTTGGAATCCAATGAATAGATGACTTACTTTCTTGTTTGCCTTCAACTTGTTGATTATTTTTGTTTTATATATATATATATATATAGAAAAGAAGACACACACATGAAAACCTAAGGCTTTGATACCAAATTGATGTAATAAAAAAAGATACAAACTAGAAATTTTAAACTAATGACTTCCTTTCTTTAAAACATAGACAAACAAAACCTTAAAACTCAACTACTTCAAACTCACATTAAACGGGACACTATAATATCTTACAACTTATCAAAGATTTAAGAAGAAATATACAAGTGAAATGCGAACTGTGGAAAGAAGAAGAAGATAGAAGACCCGAACGAAATAGAAGTGAGGTAGAGAAAGATAGCTTGCAAGTTAAATAATCCGCATGTTATAATGTCCAAAAATTTATCACCAATCACCTCGTTTTCCCAACAACAAACAACCTTATATATAGGGGAAAAAAGGGTCTAAATGTCCACATAAATGTGCCACCCCAGGTAGTCAATAGAAGCCACTTATTGAGAAGATAAAACACTAGACTCGGAATCAACAAAGAAGGAAGGAGAACGGTCAGCAGCCGGAAACCAAAGCCCAAGGAAAATCGAAACAACATGGAAAAACAACAGGAATTCCAAATATTGCATGGGGAGGGAAGAATTTCATTACTTTACATAACTTCTATTAATTTCATAAGATTTGATTCCTGGATTCACATCAGAATGGGCCAAACCCACTAAGGAAAAAATAGCACAAAGATTAAATAACTAATTAGCCATCAAAGAGCAAGGAAACAAATTTAACATAAAGCAAAATAAAAAAGCTAATTTTGACTGCATTAATTCTCCCTTGGTAGAAGAATCTCATATACTGATGTGAATGCTTTAGTAACTCGTTGGAAAATATCTGGACAACGACGTTGCAACCCCACAGTCTTAATCCAAGAACAATCGGTCAAAGGATGTCCTCTCCATTTAATTAAAAATCGACGATGCACTTCTTGTCTTATTTGGGTAGTACAAATATCTATAACATTTTTAACAAGATCATCATATGCTTGAATTGGAACGGAAAGTGGCATAGACTCTAAATTCATAGATTATCATTAGCAACTTTACCCAAAACAATTTTACTAAATTTTTCTAGAATCTCCAATTTTTTAGCATGAAAATATTCTTTCTCAGTTTTCTGAAATAGAATGTCATATTTCCTTTGGATCTTCTCTTTTTCTTGTTCAAACTCTGATTGAAGTAGACATTTTTTATTTTCATTTCTCTTTGCACATAAATACTGTTGCCTTTGAATTTTGAGAAATTCGTTTTGTAGTGGATCAAAGGAACTTGCCTGAAGAGGTACCCATTCTATTTTTGGAAAGTTATCCTCTGGAATCCAGTGAATAGTTGGTTGATTTTCTTGTTTGCCTTCAACAATTTGATTGTTTTGTATATATATATATATATATATATATAGAAAGGATGACAAACACATGAAAACCTAAGGCTATTATACCAAATTGATGCAATAAAAAAAGAAGGCTCTTATACCAAATTGATGCAATAAAAAAAGGTACAAACTAGAAATTATAAACTAAAGTCTTCCTTTCTTTAAAACATAAACAAACAAAACCTTACAACTCAACTACTTCAAAATCACATTAAACGGGATACTACAATACCTTACAACTTATCAAATATTTAAGAAGAAAGATACAAGTGGAATTAAAACCGTGGAGAGAAGAAGAAGATAGAAGGCCGAGACGAAATAGAAGAAGTAAGGTAGAGGAAGATAGCTCGCAAGCTAAATAACCCGTATGTTATAGTGTCCAAAAATTTATCACCAATCACCTCGTTTTTCCCAACAGCAAACAACCCTATATATAGGGGAAAAAAGGATTCAAATGTCCACATAAATGTACCACCCGAAGTAACCAATAGAAGCCACTTATTGAGAAGATAAAACACTAGACTAGGAATCAGCAAAAAGGGAAGGGGAACGGTTAGTACCAGGAAACCAAAGCTCAGGAAAAATCGAAACTGCATGGAAAAACAGCAGGAATTCCAAATATTGCATGGGGAGGGAAAACTTAAACTGCATGGGATACCATCAGCAAAAATTCCAACCAGCCACATAGAATCCAAATTCAGCATAGAGAATACCAAGTAGCCAAATAAAATGAGAAGGAATGGGCCAAGCCCAATAAGAAAAAATCAACCAAAAGATTAAATACCCAATTAGCCATCAAAGAGCAAGGAAACAAATTCAACATAAAGCAAAATAAAAAGCTATTTTTGACTGCATCAACAGTCCATTGGAATTAATTAGAATTTAATTGGAATTAATGAGAATCAAGATTTATAAAGTCGATTTCAAATAGTTGGTAATATTAATGATAACGTTGTTATTAATTTGGACTTCATTGCAAGTTAAGTTTCTACAACAGGCTGTTCTATCATTAGGGTAGTTGGACTAATGGACTTCATTGCAATTTAAGTAGGCCTTATGAAACAGTTTTAGTTTCCTTTTTTCTTTCCTGTTTACCTTTCAGTCATTATGGCGTTTGGTTACATAATGACTGTTTCCTGTTTATCCGGTAATTTGAATATCTAAAAAATTCAAAATTTTAATTTTACCAAATTTTATTTGAAATGCTCTTGTGTTTTTTTTTTCCTTGGGGATTTGCTAATGTCATTCTATATGCATGATATCCTGATACGTTGGGATGGACAATCATCAGTCAAGGAAATCAACGCATAATAGGTAACTGATACGCATCTGTTCTTTCAACAATATTATCGGTATATAAAAATCTCAATATTGTTATCACTTTATTCTTTGAATTTCTGGTGCCACACCTGTAATTCTATTATACAATTGGAAGTATTCTTAAAATTACATGGGGCTAATTGCAAAAAGCATGGAATGAAGGCAAAAACAGTATTTTGAGCAAAGAAAGAGGCAAAGACAGGTTTCTGGCCAAGAAAACTGTGCTAACGGAGGTGACAAGCTGGTCCTCCGCAATGCTGAACCTCGATCATTAGATATCGTCAACTTGATAAATTTGGCAGTAACTTCTCAGCCAGGTTATTTCTCAGATTGAGCGGTGTTCTGATGCATCATTTTATGTTATACAGTTTTGATATTTCTGGTTGTAAACAGGAATGCATTTTGTCATCAATGCAATTTTCTCATGCATGGAAAGCATTGTGTTTAGTTCATGTTCTAACTTAAGTATTAGATGAAGTTGGTCATCATTTTTAAAAGCTATAATTTATAATCAGATGATGAAATAAGTACGACAATGGTAATGAACAATGCTTGCCAGAGAATAAAGAAAAATTCATCCAACAAAATAAGGGTAACTTGGAGCACAAGCAACCAATATAGTATGAATTGCATAGCTTGAAACATGGTGGAAACATGAGGGTGATGATGGTTTTGCCTAATGAATAAATTATGAAACCTTCTATCCATCGGTGCTTCATCACTCAATAAGGTTCTATCAGAATTAAGTGGATTCTATGAATCATGATTATTCAAGGGTTTGCCAATATGTGTAGGAATGATTTGATGAACTTCTAGATTAGTAGGATCATTATCTATATTATTTGTTAAGTGGTGTAGGCAATATAGCTATATGACTAGTTGGGGCAAGCACATCAATTTTAACTTCTGGAAGAAAATCAATGGGACTTCAATTATGAGTGCAAACCTTAATTGATGAAGCAACAACAATCATTGTGGGAGTAGGAATGATTTGACCAATTGAGTGTATGATGTAAGCAAACTAGAAAGAAAAGTCAAGTTGGAGAACACGAGTACAAAATAAAAATCAAACTTGATTTACTTTTACTTGCAAACATCCAAACAAACATCCAAATAAACGAAAAGTCAAATCAAACGAAATAAAATTATAACATAAAAATGCTATCCTCAGAACAACCGTCAAGCGGTTTCCTCACATGCAACAAGAGTAGGAAAACATATGAAAATAGTGCTTAGGCTTGCAAATCGAGGGTCCACCACTGCAAAATGGTCCAACGTCCTACCAAACTCCTCCGACAAATGTCTCCCAAAATCATCCAACAAACAACTTCCAAATGCTCTAGAAGAAGGATACAGGTGGAGTGGAACTTGCATAGAGAAGAAGAGATTAGAAGCCAAGATGAAATAGAGAGGAGGAAAGGGGGAGGAACAAGCTCTCAAACTTTTCCAAGAGAAGAAACCCTCAGGTTTTTATCAACTTCTTTCAAGTTCATCAACAACCTTTCCATGACAAAATCCTCTCATATATATAGCCAAAAAGGGGAGCCAAACAGCCAACATCAACCTCCAACCAAACCAATCAGGTAAGGGGAAGAAAAGGGCTAAAAGACACCACAACAACCCCCAAAATCTGCACAGAAAACAGGAAGGAAAGCCACTAGAAACACAGCCAGGGAGGCATGGGAACACAACCAGAGAGGGACCCGAGGAGCCAACACAGGAAAGGGGACAGAGGGAGTCACGGGAAAGCAACCAGGGAGAAAACCGAAAAGACAACCAGCACACAACAATAATTCACAAGGAAGAAACCAAGGAGACACAAGAATGGGAAGAAACAAGCTCCACTCCACATACCTTTATGAATTTATGAGCTAGGAAGTGCAATTACTCCTCTAAATAATGAGCTAAACTTCAGCTCAAGCATTAATGAGCTAGCACCAAGTAAAACCCAATTTTTTTAGCTCAAAACCAAGCAGCCAAAGCCTAACCCAAGAGCAGCCAAGGCCCAAACTGAAATACAACAAACAACCCAAAGAACGAAAAGGACCCAAATGCAAGCAAACCCAAGCCTTGCCATGCCCAAGCACATCCTACCATGATCATTGGATAGCTTTAAAAAAAACATAAAACAAAACTAATATTGTTCAAATTACATCAAAATAAAATAAACCAAAATATAAATGCATCAATTCCCCCATGGTGGGAGAATCTCATCTCCTGATGAGAAAGCTTCCACAATCTTTTTATAAAGATCCGGATGACGTTTCTTCAACTCATTGGCATCCATCCAAGTACAGTCTGTCAAAGGACGATTCTTCCATGTTGCCAAAAACCTAATGTACTTGCCATGTCTAGTTTTAGTAATTTTGACACCAATAACATCTTCAATCTGTTCATCATTATTTAAAACTGTATGTGGAGAGTGATAAAGTTTCAATTTCCATATGATCTTCAGAATTTCCTTCATATAAAGAAATTTCAGAAACATTAAACACAGGATAAGTGCCAATAGTAATAGGAAGATCCAAGAGATAAGCATTTGTGCCCAATTTTCGTAGAACACGAAAAGTCCCAAATTTTTTCCTGCTTAATTTTCCAAAAGTACCAACAGGAAATCGTTGGCGACGAAAGTAAGCCATAACCAAATCTCCCTCTTTGAAATAAACTTCCCTCCGATGTTTGTCAGCAGCAGATTTGTATTTAATATTAGCCATTCGGAGTTTTTCAAAGACTTGCTGTTGGACAGTTTTGATATGGTCAAAAGTTTCAGAAGCTTCAACACTAATTTTATTTGGCAAAGGCAAACAATTTCTATCTAAAATGTGAGATATAGGCTGATCTAAATGATTTCAAATGGAGTTTTACCAGTTGAGCGATTAACAGAATTATTGTATGCAAATTCAGCTTGGGCGAAATCAAATCCCATTGGGATGGCTTTTCTCCAGCAAGGTATCTCAGTAAATTTTCTAAACTTTGATTGACAACTTCTGTTTGCCCATCAGTTTATGGATGATATGCACTACTAAATTGAAGAGTAGTTCCTAATTTTGCCCAAAGT